GCGTGTGCATATGTGTTGGGTGGTGTCTGTCTGTGCACGTGTGCTTGTTCATTTCTCCTTTGCACGCGCCAGCACTGCTTGCGGCCCTGTGTTTATCTACGGACATGCGGTGCCTGGCTGATCTGTGCCTAGGTATCTATGCTTGGCTTTGTAAGGAGAGAGGGGAAAAATAAGTGACGGGTTGTGCTGTGAAATCCCAACGTTGGGGACAGGGGCTCGGGGCCCTCTGTCCCCTCTGTACCATCCCACGTCCACACAAACTGACCCTGTTGGGCCATCTCCTGCCCACACTCAGCACAGCCCCTGAGTTTGTTAAAATCCCATTTACAGCAGGTGGAGCTGACATCTGGTTCCCAGGAAGTGAGTACTTCCAGAGCCGTGTGTGTGTGTGTGTGTGTGTGTGTGTATGTGTGTCTGTCTGTTCTGGTTCCCTTATTTGCAGCTTGAAAATGTCATTCTCCTTGTTGGGAGTGGAGAGCAGAACCCCAGAGAATAGGGGGAAAGATGAGGGCTGCAGGGGAGGAACCACAGGCCCATGGCTGGTTCATCTGCGGGTAAAGGAAGGCTGTGGCCATGGGAGCAAGATCTTGGCCCAGGAGTCTGGGGTCCTGGACAGGGCTCAGCTCTGCTATCTGCTGGAGACCTTGGCTGGCGGGAGGCAGCCCCTCCTGGTGTTCTCCTGGTGGCCTGTGCAGGTGCCTGGCCAGGGCCGCTCAGGGAGGACAAATGGGATACTCCCCTCACCCTGTGTCATGTTGAAGAGACGCTTGTCAAAAGGAGTGGGGCAGAGCCCGGCACCCAGCACGCGATGGGATGGTGTATTTGTTTCCTGTCACTGCTGTAACAGATCACCACAAACTTAGTGGTTTTATACAACACCAGTTTATTTCACAGTACTGGAGGTCAGAAGTCCAAAATCAGCCTCACCAGCCTAAAGTCAAGGTATTGGCAGGGCTGTGTTCCTTCTGGAGGCTCTAGGAGAAATTCATCTCCTTGCCTTTTCCAGGTTCTAGAAACTGCCTGCACTCCTTGGTTTGTGGCCCCTTCCTCCATCACACTGTCACGTCACCTTTCTATTGCTTTGACTTTCTTGCCTCCCTCTTGTGAGGACTCTCGTGATGATGTTAGACCCTCCCAGTTAATGCGGAACAATCTCCTCATCACAGGAGCCTTAACATCATCACATCTGCAAAGACTTTTTGCCTGTGAGATAACATTGTCACAGGTTCCGGGGATTAGAATGTGGACATCTTGGGAGCTATTATTCTGTCTGCTAAGTAGGGCAATCACAGACAAGCTGGCATAAGGGGGTGACATTCTTGATCCTCCTGCAGTCCCGCTGAGGGACCCATTGGAACCGTCACCCTTGCCAAGGAGCTATCTTCTCCTGACATCTTGTCTGCGGGGTTGAGCGCCAGGAACCAGGGTGCGCTGGCTGGGTGAAGGACCTTTGCTTTCTGCCTGCTCTCCCAGCAGCCCCTGGCCAGGCAACAGCTATGACCTCAGCTCAGACTGACCCCTCAATTCCCAGAGTCCCCCTTCACCCTCTCCCAGCCTGCTCCAGATCCAGCCTCCCAGAGCACTCCTCACTGACTCGGTTCCTTCCCTGTCATGGCCCCACTCCCGGCCTCAGAGGCACCGTGGGCTGCAGCCTGCCAGCACGGGCCCACCTGCCACCCAGCCCTCTCCACACGTGTGAAAACCACATGCATGGGGCTCTCTCTGGCTGCCCACAGAAAAACCTCACTGCAAGACCCAGAGACAAAGAGTGAGGACACGCACAACCGTGCAGGCCAGTGCTGGGGGGTCCACGGGGACGATGGGCCTCCCGGATGCTTTACTAGGCCAAATTCCCCAGCACAGTCAGCACCACATCTGGCATTAAGCTGGAAATTCCAACTGCTCTCCACTGCTAAAAAATGTGTCAAATCTTCCCAGAGACTTTGTGGAAGTGGGAAGCATGGTGGGGACAGCGGTGGGGGTGAGTGCTCACTCCACAGGCCCCGAGAGCTTTGGGGAAATCCAGATGTCACAGTGTGTCCACAGTCCTCCGGCTGACGGCTTCCCCGGGTTCCCTCCGCTGCGCTCCCTGCCCCGTGAAAATTAAAGACGCCTGGAGCAGGAGGGGTACCTTGCTTCCCCCTAGGACCCACGAGTCTGGCCATGGTTGTGTGTGTGTGTGTGTGTGTGTGAAACTGTGACTTTTTTTCTTCCTTTTTTTTTTGACAGGGATTGAGCTATTTTCTCCTTGAGAGAAAAATGTTGACATGCCTTTGGTGGATCGTCTGCCCAGAAATTTCCAATGCAGGAAGGTGTGCGCTTCTATTTTCTCTAACACACACGCACACGTGTACACCTCTCAGAGCCCCAGATCTCACCAACCCTTCAGGGCCTCCCCTGTACTTCTAGCCCAGCCCCAAGCAGCGTGGGACAGGGATTCCACAGAGCAGGGCCTGTGGGTCCAGAACAGTCTCGACCGCTTGCTAGTTCTCCATCTCTAGGCAAGTGGAAGAGATTCTTGTTACGGCTGTGAAAAATCACCACAAGCTGAGTGGCTTAAAACAGTACAGATTTCTTCTCTTACAATTCTGGATGTCAGAAGTCCAAAATCAGCCTCACTGGGCTGGTTCCTCCTGGAAGATCCAGGAGAGAATGTGTTTCCTTGCCTTTTTCAGCTTCTAGTGGCTGCCTGTATTCCTTGGCTTGTGGCCTCTCCCTCCACCTTCGAAGAGCATCACTCTCATCTCAGCTCTGTCATTGCATCACCTTGTCCTCTAATTCTGACCCTCTGCATCCTCTTGTAAGGATGCTCATGATTACATTGGGCCCACCTGGATAGTCCCCAGCCTAAGAGGGATTTAATCACATCTGCAATGTTCCTTTTGCCACGTAAGAACATTCACAGGTTCTGGGGATTACCGGAACATAGTGGAGGCCATTAATGCAGTCTTCCACAGCAAGTGTCCCTTTCTGTTCCTCACCTCCAGAGCTCCAGAGGGTCAGTCTCCACAGGCCTCTTGCAGCTCTGATGCTAAAATGCTAAGTCTCTGCCTCACTGGCCCTCCGATGAAATAGGCCTCGCCCCTCTCCTCTCTACACATCGCTGAGTCTCTGGGACTCATATGGTCTCTTCTGTTTGTTGGAGGGGATCCCTGCCTCCTCTGCATCCAGCACCAGGAGTCTGACACCCCAATCTGGGGCCTTCACCCCTCAGCCTATACCTGAGGGGCATTCTCAACTGGTGAAGAATTCATTCCAGCCCCAACTTAGTTTAGGATCTGAATTTTGCCTTTTTCCAAGGTGGGTTTCTCAACTGCCCATCTGTGTGCCATGGGGGTAAGAATCCTGGACCTGATTCAGGGGTGTTGGGTGGGTATCCAAGATGTTTGAATGAGAGCAGCAGGGATGTGGGTACTCATTCCCAGCAGTGGTCCTCACTGGCTCATCCTCCCAGAGCTCAGGCCACTCAGTCACAGCGTGACCTTAAAACTCCCTCACCAGGGAGAATCAGAGAGGGATGACACTGACCCAGCCTGGGCAGTCCCGTGGGACCCAGTCGGACAGGTTCGTGTCCTCGGAGGCCTCCCGAGTGAAGTGCCTCTTTGAGCCAGACCTTCCTTCCTCCTTCCCTTTCTTTCTTCCTTTCCCTCCCTCCCTTCCTGTCTGGCACAGTGCTGGTTCTATGTCAGGCACAGGATACAGAGCTGGAAGGGTCAGTCCCTCAGCCTGTGAGAAGCCACTGGGGAGACAGCCACGTAAATATCCCCTCCCCAGCAGTGTGCCGGGCGCTGGTCCCCAAAGTTCCCAATGTGGGAGACAAATGAGACTGCCCAAGGTGTCAGGAGGGCCTCCTGGGGCTGGTGATGCTGCATTTTACACCCACAAACACACTAAAACACCAAGTCCACCTGCACGTACTGTGTCAGGAGAGGCAGCCATGCTTCAGCTCATGGTCTTCCCGCTGCTTGATATTTTTCCACCCTCCTCTCCTGGATAGCTCTGACTCAGGTGCCACCTCCTCCAGGAAGTCTTCCCTGAAGTCTGGGGAGGTTAGATCCCCTCCTTGATGCTCCCATCACCCCACAGAGAGGCTCATCATGTCCAAGTGAGGAACTGACTATCCTGCAGTCAAGAGAAAGCTACGGCCTTAGAGGGGCCTAGAGTGGGAGGGGGCAGTTCTGGTGAGATGGCACTGGGCTCCACTGAGCCTGCTTTTTAAGAGCTGAAGGGCCCCTACAGATCACCCAGTCCATCCTCTTTTCTGGGTGGTGGCGCTGGGACCAGAAACTCCCCTTCTGATTTCAGCCCTCTGCTCTTTCCGTGACCCATTCTGTCTGGGTGCCATGTCCTGACCACCTCGGTGTCCACAAGTGCTTGGAGAACTGACATGAGGGGAGTGTGTACGGAGGACCTGAGCCCACCAGAGACAAGGGTCCGGAAGGCATACTGTAGGTTTTTTTTTAATGGAGGAACTGGAGATTGAGCCCAGTGCATGCTAGGCATTGAGCATAACCACCCCTACTACAAGGCACACTGTGTTGGTGCTACAATTTGGCCATGTACTCCTCTAACTCCAAAGGTGGTACCCAGGCTTCACATTACTCCTTCCATGGTGGAGATGCTAAGAGAAAGATCTGAATCTGAGTTCTTGCTCTGCTTCTTCTTACCTATGTGACCTCTTTGAGCTCCTATGTCCTCATCAGCAAAACGAGGATAATAATCAGATATACCTTTGTTTTCACGAAATAAGATAATGAGAAGTCTGCAGTTCTCTGGCACACAGATATGCCCCTGTCCGGTGACTCTGTTCTCTCTCACTGGAGCACCCGCCATTCCCTCTTCATGCTCTCATTCTATGAGCTCAGACTTCTGCAATCGGGAAAGCAGCCTGATTAAACTGATTCATGCTAATTCCAGCCTTAGCCCTCCTCAAAGAGATTCTGATTCATTAGGTCTGGGATGGATGCCCCAACCCATCATTTGTATTAATCTTTATGTTTTTAATAAATATCCTGGGTGATTCTGGTGTTTAGCCAGGTTTGGGAGCCTCTGGAATAAGTTATGGTGGGGTTTTATTTTAATAAAGGCCAACCAGTGCCCTCAAAAATGGGGGTCTAACTTAGAGGTACCTTCACATGGCCCCTGGAACCACAGCAAACAGGACCCTCTCGCTTCCCATGGGGAGGGTGGCATTCCTCCAGAGCAGCTCTGTAGAAAGGGGTGGGGGCCAGCTGTGTCCTCTCCTGCAGCTGTTTCAGTGCCATGGCCCTGTGGAAATCACTGTGAAATTCATTCTCCACATCTCCCAGAGCTGGGCCAGGTGGCTACTGGCTGGAGTGGCTGGTCCCATCCAACAAGAGGCTCTGTGAGCCAAGGAAATACGTCCACCCACCTCCGTTCAGCATGGGGCTCCCCCCGCATCCCGCCCTCCTGGGCCAACAAGTGCTTTTTGTCCCAAATCAACTCATGCCTTCTCACGAGAAGACTTTTCTTTACTCAGGAAGCACCCAGCCCTTGCATGTCTGCAGGTTCACTCAGGACTGTTGGGCTCTGGAAGTTGGTCGTGGCTGGATTCTGCCACCTGAGGCCTGGGACAGAGCTGGCTACAAGTAAGGGAGGCAAGGAAAGCTGCAGATTCACTCATCCCTGAGAATGACAGCTGGCGGGGGCTCTCCCTGCAGCGGGGAACTCAGCCTTTTTATTAGCTGCCCGGAGGTGCAGGAGCAGGGGTTTGGCCGAGGAAGTAGGGAAAGGCCCAGAATGAGCGCACTGTCCTCCGCCAAGGACACAGCACTGTTGACGTGGGAGAGATGGGCGCAGCCTCTGGATGGAGTCCACGATGAGGAGGAAATGGTTTTCACTGAAAAACAAAGTTGAAAAACAGTTTACTGAAGGGAAGAGAAAGAGGAAAGGGGGGAGGGAGGAAAACCACCTCAAACTGTCTGATCATCAAAATCACCTCGTTGGTTAAAAATACAGATTCCAAAACTCGTTCCAAGTCAATAAAGTATTATTCTTGGTAGCTCTGGGTTACTTTTCCTTGTGGCTTAAAAATGTAGATCCCTTGTCAATGATACCACAATAAAGCTGGAGAATAAATTAAGCTACACGTAAAATCAGTTGAAGAATTAAAATCAATTGCACAGCAAGATGTTTTTCAGAAGGGACTGAGTGGATGTTGAGGAACGTGAATTAAATCATCACCTTTCTAAACTTGACATCAATATTTGAACTTGAAAAGTTAATAATATAATCAGCTTTGGTTTTTTAGTTAAGGAAAATCTGGATATAAAATAAGAATCAATCTTTTAAAAATGCAGATTTCAACTTACGTGGCTTGGAAGACCCCTGGGTGGATGGATAGCATGAGTGAGGGGAAGCCGTATCTTATGGAATCGACAGTTATGTTTCTAATTTTATAATTAGCTGAGGGCAGGAGGGAGAAAAGGAGATGCAATGGGATCTGGGAAAAAAGATCCTAAAAACCGTTTCTCTCCAACCAGTCGTGGTCTTCCCTGGATGACTGTTTCATTCCTTCTTTCTTTCTCACTCGCTTCCTGCTGAATGGTCTCCACTCACCTTCCCATCTCTTCCTGCCACCTGAATAGTGGAAGGCTGAATATGCAAAATGTTCACGTCTCAAGCCCTGGAATCTGTCCATGCCACCATATATAGGACTTGGCATGTGTGAGTAAATGAAGGATCTTGAGACGGGGAGATTATCTTGAGTTATTTGAGTTGGTCTAATGGAATCACAGGGGTTCTTTAAGAGGGAGACAGGAGATCAAAGAGTAGAAGGTGATGGGATGACAGAAGCAGAGATCAGAGTGATGCTCTTTGAAGACGGAGGAAGGGGCCACAAGCCAAAGAGCAAAGGCCGCCACTAGAGGCTGAAGAAGGCAAGGAGATAGATTCTCCCCTGGAGCCTCCGGAGGAACTAGCCCTGCTAACAGCTTGACGTCAGCCCAGTGAGACTGATTTTGGACTCTGGACCTCTAGAACTGACAGAATAAAGTTGTATTGTTTAAGTTACTCCATTTGTGGTGATTTGTTACACAGCAGTAAGAAAGTCAGACACCTCCTGACCTCTGCCCCATGCACCCCACCACCCAGCCCTCTTGGCAATGTTGGATATTTCCCACACTGCTCTTTCTTAAATCTTGTGTCGGCCCACTCCCCTGGTGGTCCTCCCGCCTCTCAGATCCTCTTCCTCTGTCCCCTCCTAACACTCTCCTACCCCACCTCCAATGTGGTCGTGTGCTCCAGGGTTCTCTTCTGAACCCCACCTCCTCTCATTCTCTACTTTCTAGGAGTGTCATGTCCCAGGGGTGACCCCAAATCAAGGCCATGTGCTCCACACCCTCATATCCAACTGATGAGTGGGCCTCCTGCTCCCTCCACAGCAAATCAGTATCTCCATCTGAAGTGCATTTTCCACCTTCCCCACCTTTAGAAATCTGGCTCACCTGTTCATCCCTCAAGGTCCAGCTCAAATGTTACTTCCTCCGGGAAGTCTTCCCTGTCTGTCAGGCCATACGCTTGTCTTTAACAAAAAAATTTTTTTTAATTTTTAAACTTTACTTTTTAGAGCAGTTTTAGGTTCACAGCAAAACGAAACAGAAAGTACATAAATTTCCCAAGCAGCACTTATTTTTCATAGGCTATCGTGTGACCAGCTTTTATCGGTGTTATCTTATTTAGTTTACTTAACAAATCTGTGTGGTAGGGATACATTGTCTTTCCTTCCTTCTTTCCTTTTTTTGGTCCAGGTTTACTGACGTATAACTGACAAATAAAAATTGCATTTATTTAAGACGTACAGCATGATATTTTGATATATGTATGTGTAGTGAAATGATTACCACAACCAAGCTAATTGACACAACTGTCACGCCACGTATTACCTCTTTTTCTTCATGAAAACAATTAAAAGCTATTCTTTTAGCAAGTTTCAAGTATATAATATAATATTAACTACAGTGACTGTGCTGTACAGTAGATGTCCAGAACTTACTCATACTGCGTATCTGAAACTTGGAACACTTTGACCAACACGTCCCCATTTCCTTCCACCTTCCAGCTCCTGGTAACCACCAATCCATCCTCTGCTTCTGTGAGCTGGACATTTTAAACTTCCAGATACAAGTGAGATCACACAGAACTTGTCCTTCGGGGTTTGGCTTATTTTACTCAGCATGATGTCCTCCATGTCGCCCACGTTGTTGGAAATGACAAGATTTCCTTGCCATATGCTTGTTAGCTGTGCCCATCGGTTGGCCCCAAGGGATTGTGAGACCCTTAGGAGCAGAGATCAGCCTTAGACACTCAGCACCCAGCACAGTGGGATGGCTGGAGTTCTAGAACACTCTGCCTCCCTGCAGCCTTGATATCAACACCTGACCAGGTGGTAGAAACCGGCCCCAGTCCCTCTGCTTTTCTCTTGCCTTCTGGCTCAGAGTAGGCTGCCACAGCAAGGTCCCCAAAGGTGTATGACAACAGGTGTCTAGTGTCCTATCTGGTGCCTGTGGCCCAGTGGGGGCTCACAAATGGTAACCTCCCTTCTCTGACGGGGACCCTGCTAGCCTTTTGGCCTCTGGAGGGAGTCAAGGTGGTTTTATAGTCCTTCTAGGTATTGTGTTTCTGTTCCTATTGTCTCCTCAGAGGGTTTATTAGCACCATCTAGCATAACTGTCCCAGGTTTCCCAGCCGTGCTCTGCTAAAAGAAGCCAAAGACTGGGTTTCTAGCTCTGCTTGGTCCAGAGAATTGATGGGACGGTGACATCCTGGTGGGCTAGCCAAGGGGAGGCAGTGGGGACGAAGAAAAGTGACCTAAAGGGGAGAGTGAGCAGAGGGAGACAGAGTTAGGGCTATTTGGGCCAGCTGTCCCTCCTGCCCAGAAATTCTCCTTCCTGAACAAAATCTTGGAGGTTCTGGTATGTAAAATAATAGCAACAACAATAATTTTTTAAAATCGTTTTGCCCTTGGTATATAAGTAGGTGCATGATGACTCAAGAAAAAGTTAAAAATTCAGATAAGAAAACCCAAATAAAAGCAAGGGGAAAAGAGGGAATCTAAAATTATCTCACAACCAGTCAATGTTTTGGTGCATATCCTTCAAACATTTTTAGTGAATTGACGTATTTTCAAAATCAGATTTTTTTCTATATTTATCAGCTTTTAATTTTTCTGTTCACTGTGCTATAAACTTATTTCTAGGTTATTAACTGTTCTTCAACAACATCATCTTTTAAAGGCGGCATTGCGTCTTATTTTCTGGATGGGTCATAATTTACTTAACCAGTCCCCTCTTATTGGACATTTAGGTTGCTTCCAGTTTTTCAGGCTTGTAAATACACAGTGAAGAACAACCCGGTAGCTAAGTCTTTACACGTGTTGCATGTATGCCCCTAGAATAAGTCTCAGGAATCAACTCTCTGTATTAAAGCATGCTAGGTTTTGTTTCCATCCCTGAGCAGACCCCGGGGAAGACCAGGTGTTTCTGAAGGTCTTGGCGCTGAGCCTTGCACGCCACCCACCTGGCCCCCAAGTCTGCATGTTCCACGTGCTCCAAACCATCCTCCTCTCTTCTCCCAACCTTGCCCCCAGGCTGTGCGCTCACCTGAGAGAATGAATTACACCTCCTAGCCGGACATGAGACCGTTTGTCTTATGCTCTGGAATTCTGAGGAGATAAAATCTGGGCAGAGCACATTTATGTATTTAATGTACTTCTTGGCGGGCTAGCCCCAGCCCTTGGAGATCACCTTTCTCCAGACTGAGGTTAAGAGTTTACAGGGAGGAGGAGCAGATCAAGAGGTGCAGAGCAAGCAGCTCCAGGGCTCACCCCATGAGGGCCCGAGGGGGGACCACGTTCTCCCCACTCGGCCCCCAGGCTCACCCCAGCCCCAGTTCCAGCCTCCCAAATCCTGCCTCCCAACCTGGGGCGCAGGAAATGCCAAGGGTCCCTCATATAGTTGAGCTGGCTGCCAGGATTCCGCTCTTCAGAGAAGGAACTGGGTTCTCCCCCGCTCCCACTCTGGGGCCGGCCCAGACACTTCCACAAGGCTTCTCTCTGGTTTCTGGAGCCCTGCTCAGGCCTTTAGTTTGTCTGAGTGCATACAGTGATCCCCTCTCTGGGGCTCTATCCTTGTTTCAGGCTCAGTGCCCCCCGAGGGCCCTCAAAGATCCAGGGTTCTCTTGTGCTCAGATAGCCAGGACACCCGTCCTAACCCCACCTACCATCTGACCGGTGTATCACATCTTTGACTTTCTTCAAATTTGGTGTCTCCCCACTTTGTGTGAGGAGCACGGGGCTCCCAAACCCCATCAGATCACCAGAGGGGCTCTGTAAATGAGCAGGGTCCAGGGCCTCCCACTGGAGACCCAGACTCTACAGGTCTGGTGAGGTGCCCTGGAAGCTGCACCTTCACAAAGGGTGGTCCTCCTGGCTCTACCCACCAAGCTGTCTCTGTGTCCTTCATCTCCACTGAGGTGGGGAGGCAGGGCATTTGGTCCCTCAGTCAAGCAGGCCCAAGGTCAGGGGAGAAATGAGAAACCAGCGGGCTGCAAGGCTGCTTCCTCAGGTAACCTAAGTTCAGGAGCTTTGGCAGCCAACCAGGCCTCTCCTGGCAGGGGGATTTGGCCAGGGGCGACCTGAGCAGCTGCACAAAGCCACCCTCATAGCCTCTCTGGCCATGAGTCCCCAGGCGCTCGCTTGCCCGGGACGCACAGGCAAGCCTCTGTCAGCCGGGCCTGCAGGAGGCTGTGGCCGGGAGAATCAAAGCAGCCGTCCTCTGGTGCTGCGGACACTTCCCCTAGAAGGCTCTGGAAACAGCACACCGGGTGTGAGACGGGGACTCTGTGGGCCAGAGGTGGGTCTCTGCAGACAGAGGCCCACACACGGCCCCTCCTGTTCTAATGCCACACCCTGCCTAAGCCCCGGGTCCTCCCTGTCAGCCCAGAGGACTCAGGTTGGCCAAATCCCTTCAGGCTGCTGCCCCTCCCCTGCCCCCAGGCAGGAAGCTGGGCCCCCTTCTTTCTCCACCAGGGCCTTGTGGGACCCCTAGGACTGAGGAAGGCGTGTGATGAGCCAGAGGTCCCTGTAGGACGTGCGGACCCCTCAGATGCCCTACTTTGTTTCAGATTCTTGACAATAAAAACAACGTATTAAATGTTTGTTCAACAAAACTCATCCTCTAGCTCAGCCAGTGGCAACTCCATGCCCTCAGTTGCTCAAGCCAAAAGCTTGGCATTCTCCTTGAGTCTTTTCTCTTAGACTCCATGCCCAATCCATCAGAGGAGCCTGTCAGCTGGATTCCAACTTATTCCAGAACCCAACCACCTCTCACCAGTTCTGGTCTGACATCTCTTGCCCAAATAATTTCAACAGCCTTCTACCTGGTGTCACTGCTCCATGGAACAGCCAGGGGACAAAGCTAGGTGGTGATGGAGGCCATAGCGCTAACCCTTCTGTGCGTTAAGGACCCTCCTGTCCAGATTTCATCTTGGCTGGTCTTTCTTACCAAGAAAAGCAGTTTTGTAGTCATACACAAAATGAGAGACCTTTTGTATACCTGTGCAAAGTATCACACATCCCCCAGATTCTTCTTCAGCTCTCTTGTCCAAGCCAGGGTTTGCGAAATCTACCATCCTCACAGAGACTCCTCCCCAGCTTGGAGACTTTGAGCCGTGAGCAAGAGCAAGAAACTCAGCAATCTGGGGGTGCCTCCATGTTGCTGAAACCAAGGCCAGTGGAGCCCCAACATTGCAAGGCCCTGCTTGGAATGTGCTGTGAGATGATTCTGCAATAGATATGATGATGCAACAGCTGTGCATGAATGACATGGCAAAGCTGGGCCCCTTCCTTCTGGGGTCCAGAAGAGAGAGCTCCTTCTAGGAGCTTAAATCAGGACTCATCTTTCTGTGAGACCCCAAGCTCCGTGCTGGGTGATGTGGGTAGAAACAGGTTTTTCCTGGGACTCTGTAGTGTGGCTGTGTGCCTGTGTGTGATGACACATCTTGCCCCGCATCCCCCGCAGCTCCTCCAACCTGGAGGTGACAGTAACCAGGCTCAGCCTCTCCCCGCCAGTCCTCTGACCCCAGCCCCACTTCGCATCAAGGCCGAGTCCTGCAGTGGGCCTCAGAGGGGAGCTCCCCCAGGGCTGCTTTTATTCCTTTTTAATTAAAAATTTTTTTCTTATTCATTTAAAAAAAATTGAAGTATAGTCCGTTTACAATATTACGTCAGTTTCTGGTGTACAGCATGGTTCAGTCATACATGTACATATGTATTTTCTTTTTGCTTAATCTGGTTTTCCAAGCCAGCACCACTAACTGGACTCACTGGCTCTAGCTGAGTAGCCCCACATCAGGGCTCAGAGGAGCCAGGCCACCTTGTCCAAGTGAGGACTTGAGGCTCAGAGAGGAGAAGGCCCCAAGCCCATGTGGCCCAGCAGGTCCACGGCAGAAGGGGGATCAGAAGCCAGAGCCACTTTCCAGCGCAGGCCAGGCCTGCTGAGAAAGGGGTCGGGCAGGGAAACAGGGAAGAACTGGCGGCTCTCAGGCTGGGGTGCAGCTCTCCTCACCTCCAGCTTCTCCCTGAAGGCTGCTCACATCCACTCCCTGTCAGCTGAGCCCCTCTGTTTTCATGAGCCCCCAGGTCCTGCCAGGGGCCTCCCTCTTCTGCTGCTTTGCGTCCATCCCTACAGCTCCCTCCCTCTCTTGGCTGCTGCCTTTGCAGGCTCCAGGCAGAGCTGGAGGGAGAGGGGTCTGTGCCGGGCTTGGCCAGTCTCACTTCCAGCCAGTCAGGCTGCCCTCTCCTTGACAGGCTTCCTAGAAGGCACCCCTCCACCCTTCCCATCCCCACCCCCACCCCTGCTTCCCCTCAGCCCTGACTCAGCCCATAAATTACCTGGGGATGGCTGCTGACTCAGCCAGGAAGCCCAGACCCCCTCCTCCCCATCCCCAGGCCTCAACCCCACAGCTGGCTCTCATTCCAGAATGCTTGGTCCCCTCCCCTCAGGAAATTCCTGGAAAATATCAGGCTTCTTCGAGGGAGATCTCCTAACCACAGCCGCAGCAGGGAAGGGAGCCACTGCGGCCTCATCCATCATCCTGCCTCCCAGCCCTCCTCCCCCAGCCCATGTGTCTTTGTGGGGCTGAGCTGAGCAGTGGAGATGTCGGTCTTCATCAAGTGACAGGCACCTGGCCGTGGCAGGACCGCAGAGGAGGGAGGAGAAGCCAGAGTGGGGTGGGGCAATCAAGGCAGGCTGCTAGGAGTTGGGACTAGTCCTGGGTCAGGAAGGACGGTGAAGTTGATAAGTGGAGAGCTGGGAAGGATGCTCCAGGCCCAGGGAATGAATGGCCTGAGCAAAGGCACAGAGGTGGGAGACAGCCCAGGACCTATGTGGGTTCGGGAGGCAGCTGGAGAACAATCAGGCTGAAAGGGTAGCCTGGCAGGGCAACCTGGGCAGATGAAGCCAGGGCCAGAGCCAGGGCCAGGGCCAGGCTGAGGACTTTGTGGTGGATCTCTGGGGCTCAGGAGCATAGGAATGGGGATGGTGGTAGCCCAGCGATGGTTGAGGAGATGAGTCTGGGAAGAGGTTGACTCTTGACCAGCAAGCCCCAGGGAACACTGGTCTCTGCCACATCCAGGGACCTCCTTGGGCTCCCCAGGCCTGCTCAGGGCTGGGGGGTCGGGCAGGGCCTCTGCATCATCACACTCCAGTCAGACGACAGAGGCAGGACTCCTGCCCTCAAGGAACCCAGACTGAAGGTCATGGCCATGGCATCAGGGAGCACCCAGTCTAAGGGAGAGACAGACATCCCAGGCCCTTGCTCCTTCCTCTGGACTCGAGTTCCCCTTGAATCCCTTCCTTGGAAACTCTATTAGTCTGTGACGGAAAGCCAAGTCCAGTCTGCAGATAAAACACCTCTTTTTTTTTTTTTTTGGCTGCTTCCCCTCAGACAATAACAACTCTTTAAAGTACAAAAATTCCTGCCCAACTTCCCCCCAGGAAGGATGGCTGGGTGATGTGGATGTAACCATAGTAACAGAGTCACTGAGAGAAACAAAGTAAGCTGGCAGACATACCAGGGTACTTTGATGGGAAGCTGTCCTGAGGCCCCCAGACCCCAGGGATGGGACACAAAGCCAAGGAACTGTGGGAAGGGGGTCTGCTGAGTTTCTAACATTTAGTCACTTTTCCTGGGAATAGCAAGCCTGCAGGGCATGGCGGGGAGTCAGGAAGATGTGGGATCCAAGACAGAAAAAGGTGGGACGGAGCCAGCCAGAGGAATCAAAAAAAAAAAAAAAGAGGGAAAGACAAGGAGAGGCAGAGTGACACAAAGAGGAAATTCCTTGAAAGCAAGGACTGGGTCTCAGTTCATCCTGTATCCTCAGCCCTAAAGCTGGGGAAACTTCTTAATAAAGTGTGCCCCACCCCATCCCCTACCCGGGAAGGTGTTCCTCATCCAGGCTAAACTAAGTACTTCCACAGGCACATCTGTCAAAGCCCTAAAACATTATATTGCCATTCTTGCATTGCCTGTTGGGCCAACCCGCCCCACTCTGGACCCCCAGCTTTGTTCACTGTCGCATCAAAACACCTGGGCTTGGGGCAGCTCCTCCCCTCACTGTCTGTTCAAGATCAGAAAGAAAGAGGGAAAAACTGTGGGCAGGAGGAGACCACACAGACCCACCATGGGATCTGGCCTTGAGAGAGGCTCCAGGGCCCTTGCCTCAGGGGCCTGTCCTGTTCCTGAAGCTTGAGGGGGTGAAGGACAGCCAGGGAGCGGAGGGGGTTGCGGGGGAAAGGGCAGCCAGGGAGGGGCTGGGTTGGGCTGGCTGACCCTGCCTCTACGGAGGTACGAGGTCCGGACAGGCTGGAGAGGTTAACCTCTGTGGGCCCCAACCCCTGAGAGGCACTGGGTCTACTGGCAGGGCTGGCCTGATCAGGGCAGGAGGGGGGCATCCTGCTTCATTGTTACTGGCTCAGTTGCATTTCCAGAAATTCTTCCCTCCAGTAAGAAAAGGAAAGAGAAGCCTGGGTAGCCTCTTGGGCTGCCGGGAAAGGGGTGGGCAAGTGGGAACCAGAGTTCCCAGAGCTCTCATGGGCCAGGCTGAAGCACTGGGGCCTCTTGCCTGGGCCAAAGGGTCGGCTGAGCCCTGGGACAGACACTGGGCCCCAGCCAGAGGTATCAGAAAAACTGATCAGTAGAACCGCAGCTCGCCACGTCCATGCCAGCCAGGCTGTGTTTGTGGCTGCACGACAGAGGCAGGAAGAAAGAAGGCCTGGTTATCACTGGGCTTTTAAAATTCTGCGACTAGGGGACATCAAAGCTTATATTCGATCCAGAGTAGTTATTTGCCCCCTCCCCTTTTCAGTGTCTAGCTCTATACTAGATCTTGATGAGGAGACACAGGAGGAATTAGTATTATTGCTGTTGTTACTCTCCCAGAATTCCCCCTAGTGTGTTCTGCACAGCACCAGCCTACAGGAGTAGTCTTTGATAAAACAGGCAGGTTTGCAGAACTCAGCACATCAGTTACCCACTTAAAGACTCCCAGGGCACAATGCAAATATTAAAGTCTCAAAGAAATCTGAAGAGACCCAATTAACTTTGTTTAAACCAGTGTTTCTCCAGCTTATTTGACCATGGAATACTTTTTGCATGCAACACCATGAAGCAGAGTTCCCAGAAACACATTCTGGGGAAAGCTGCATTGAAGCTTTTGATGCGTGATTTTCTAACTTTGTTCCAGCCATGGTGACCCAGGGGTGATCTAAGGCAAAAAGGGGAAATGAGCCAACTGGGCTCTGGGTCTCCATCCCAACCCAATTCAACCCGCAGGTCCTGTATTCTGCCTGAATTGGCTTTCCAACAATACATTTTTATTTGACAAAAGGGCTCTGCTGTTAAAACCAAGTCTGAAAGCTATTGTTTTATAGTTTTTCATGAAAATCTGAAGAAAAAGAAAGAAATAGGCAGAACTGGTTGGGGGCGGGGGATTTAGAATTATAAATAGTGAAATTTAAAAGGCATTGGGTTAAACAGGACAGGGACTCAGTGTCTGAGGAAATCAACTAGTGTGTAAATCTCAGAGTGCCCTGAACAAGTATTTCTAACTCCATTTTACAGATGAAGAAAGTGGGACAGGAGGAGTTGAGCTACCTGCCCAGGACTCTAACCAGATACCTGACTGGGTATCTTGCCATCCTTCTCCGGTACCAGGGTCAGGAGAAGGGCTCCTACCCTCTGGAGGCTCCGAGTTTCAAGGAGGAGGTAAAATTTGCTCACCAAAGAATGGCAAATGAAAGTCTAAGATCCACTGTAGAAACCAAGGTACTGTGGTTAGGGCTGAGGGGCTCAGAAGAAAGGGATTTTAGGAGCAAGGGGACCCAAAAGCCTTCTTTTCAAGATCTGGAATTGCCCAGATGGCCCAGAACCTAGCATGATTCTGCTATGTGAAAGCTCACATCTGTCTTCAGTTCTAGAGATTTCTTAGCCATTGTCTCTCTGAGTAGTGACTCTCATTCTTTCCGACCTCGCTTCCTGGAATTCTGCATGGCATAGGTTGGACCAGCTCATTCTGTTCTCCTCACCTCTCACTCTTCCTCATTTACCACTTATTTACCAACTTGTGCTGCATTTGGGGGGAATTCTCAGATACCCTTTTTCAGCTCTGTTTCCCCACTGAGTTTGAAATTTCAATGATTATTCTTTTTCTTTTCTTTATTTTATTTTTGTCTTTGGGGAGGGAGGTAAGTAGACTTATTTATTTATTTACTTTAATGGAGGTACTGGGGATTGAACCCAGGACCTCAAGCATGCTAAGCATGCACTCTACCACTGAGCTATGCCCATGCACCTCCATTCTTTTTCTTTCAGAAGTTCTACATTCTGGCTTTTGAAACTCAAAATCCAAGAATTCTAGCCTATTCTCTGAGCCACTGCTGGAGTGGACGAGGTCAGGCTTCCCACCTAGCATCCTGGGTCTGCCGCGTCCAGCCCCCAGCGGCCTCCTGAGGTCACCTTCACTAGTCCGCAGGCCATGGAACACTCACATCCTCTTTATGTGCCTCAGAGCCAGTTAGCTCCAGGAAGTGGGTGGAGCTAAGGAGTACAAGAAAATATTGGGGGGAAAGACTAGTTAATATATAAAAAAATATTATCCCACCATATATCCCACTTACAAGGTAGATAGTACTGTTACCATAATCACGATGGTCATTGTTGTTCTTCTCCCTTTCCGCCTAAGGTAGAATGTCCCCGTCCCTCTCCAAACCCTTGGTTTCCTCACCTGAGGCTGTACAAAGCAGCTGCATTTGAAATTTGACTCTTTTTTTCATCAGTCTTTGAAGCTCCTCCTCCCCTTTCTCCGTTTCCTTTTCCTGGTCCAATTGAAGGATCTAGGCTGGCAGAGGCCTGGGTCCTGATAACAGCGGAACAATGACAACAGAAGTCCCTGAGCGAGGGCGTGGGAACCAGCCGAGCTTATGGAGAGAAGGACCGGAAAAGGGGAGGGGGAGACCCGACAGCTGGACAGGCAGACACGTCCGCCCCAGCCTTGCCCTGGAAGCTCTGCTTGGTGGTGGGTGGAAACCAGGCTGTTGCTCTTGGATGGTCCCTCCTGGGCCATTCATTCATTCAGCGGCTATTTACTGGACACCTACTAGGTAGCAGGCCCTGTGCCAGGAACAACCCTGCCCCTCGGGACTGTCCCTTCAACACGGCAAAAAATATGCAGGACCGTGGCTTCTGGGCTCACACCACAGTCCTGCGCAGCAGGAAGGGTTCTGACTGACAACCCTCTTGACTAATCAGAAGCTCAGAAAGGTGCCCTGCGTTCTGCAAGGGCACACAGCAGGATGGCCTTCACGCCCCCTTCCGCCCCCTGTCCTAGGAGACTGAAATCGTCTGGACATCTTGCCTGAAGGCAGCTAAGAGAGATTGATTTGCCACATTTTGTGGCCTCCCATGTGCTGAGGGAACAGCTCTTACTGTGAACCTTTGTGCTGGAAGCTCTGTCTGGCAATCTTCCTCCCTACCACGGAGTTACTTTTTTTTTTAAGGTATGCCCCAAATTCACCATGGAAATTGCCCAACTTTCAAGTAAAAAGCCCATTGGGAACCTTTTCCACTTTGCCAAAGTGGAGAAAAGGTCTGAAACGTTTGGTGAGCAATTTTTCTTGGAAACAGCCAGCTGCAAGCTTCTTAATCCGCCTACACAAGCTGGCAGCTGGGTTTCCACTGGACCCAGTCTTTTTCTGCTTGTCTGGACTTAACAGGGTGTGGAAAGCAGACCCCAGAAATTCCTGATTGCTTCTTGGAAGAGCAAGCCCTTAAAAAGACTCGGGGCTTTTCCTTCTCAAGCTCTGATGACACTTGACATCATCACCAGGGCCTGCTCAAGGCCAGTGCATCCCAGAGCAAGGACATCACGTGCCTACCCAGAATGCACATGTCAAGGATCCTGCCCCCGTACGTGATGCACACACATCCTGCACACGTACGCACCACACCTGGCTATTGTGATGTCCACTATATACAACAGGCATGCTGCACATACTCCACACACCACTGACCTAGAACACAAACTACTTCTGTGCCCTCGAGACACGATTACCGCATTTCACACACGTTCATGCCACACTTACACTACACAAACCTGCCTTGTGCACCAACATGTGTTATACACGTACACCACATTCACAAACACACACATTGACGTACATTCACACAAATACACACACATATCACAGACATACTCTATTTTCCGATTAAAGTTCTCAAGATTTTCGTTTCCATTTAAACCCAGTCATGTAACTCATCAACTCCCTTTGGCCTGTCTTTTTCTTTTCTTGACAATTTTTATGGATTTTTTTGTTTCAGGAAAAAAAAACAAAAACTAACAAAGCAATAACAACAAAACTTTCCTTCTTATTAGCTATAAATAAATGCAGCTGGGCATACATTTTTCAAAATGCCAGAAAGACAAATGGACCAAGAACTCAGATGTGCGAGTGTTTACCCTCCCCCTTCTTCCTCATGAACCTGTGGCTGTGCCTTTGTGTATACAAGGCCAAGTGGTGGATGCTTGAAGATACCTGCCTTCCTTCTAGACATTTGGCCCTGGAGGAACACACAGAAGACTCGTCACAAGGACTGGGAGAACCTCTCTTCATGGAAGGTTGGTCCTTGCCCTCACCCTTCTGCCCATTGTTAAAAGTACAGTGTTAGGAAAACTGAAGGTAGAAGGTGTGTGTGCCACACCCACCTCAGGAGGCAGATATCACTACTGGATCACAGCATCTGCCCCTCCCAGGCTGGACTTGGTGTCACAATCCTCTACCTAACCTTACCAGCTAGTCAGGGCTGACAGGTGAACTGGGAACTGTTTGAGATCCCACAGAGCCCAACCCCCTCAGTTTATGGGTGAGGAAACAGAGGCTCAAAGACAGGGAGTGACCTGTGTGAGGTCACACAGCACCATTCAAGGTGCTCAGCTCGGGGCTCCACAGGTGTGGCCGGTGCAGGCGCTGAGGGAGGAGGGGCCAGGCTAGGCCTCCCGAGACACACTGAGCCCTGTTTCCTTGCTGTCTTGGATGCAGCATCCCTGGCCCTCCACCTCCGGGCCTCTGACCTTCAGGATCAAGGCAGGGGAATGGAAGGCCTTCTGGGGTTCATGGATGTCAACCCTCTACAGTGCTCTTCCCTCCTCCCCGAAGCCTTCCCTGCCCCACCATGTTTGATACCCACCCCACTGCAGCTAAGCTGGAAATGCCCCTTCTGACAGCCACGCCTTGGCCACTGCTGTGCCTCTGCCCTTCCACCTCCCCCTGCTTCCCGCCCATCCTTTTACATCCATCACAGATGTCACCCTGCCTTCCCCAAAGCACACATGTGCCTCACTCAAAATCACCAAAACTGTGTTTCTGGGCTTTTCCCACAACCCTGATCAGGTCACTTGCTGTTGTCATGAGGGTGAATGAACGGTGTCTGGGTTCTACCTCCTCAGTGCAGTGGGCTTTGGGCTTCTAATAACAAGAGTTCTCCTCTCCAAGAAGCAAACTCCTCCCTCCCACAGCGGCTCCCAGACAGCTCAGACCTGCTGTGGGAACTTCTGCTCGCCCGCCCTGAAAGCCCCCTGGCCTGCCCCGGCTCCTGGCATGTTGTAAGTGCTGAGGACATATCGACTGATGGGCCACCCTGGGATGCGTAGGTGACAGGGTCCTGCCCTCCAAGGGTTCCTAGTCAGTCCTACTCCCCTGGACTGCGCCCTAGGCTGGACACAGGAGGGCTCCCGTGGACCGGTTGCCTGGCCTCCAGACACTTCCTCTTTGAGCAGTCCTGTCCCTGAGGGCAACAGCTGCAGCAGGCGGCACTAATGGGGGACATTGAAGAGGCAGCTCCTCCCGGGAGGGCCTGTCACAGAGCCAGCTGGACACAGCGCCCCCACCTGTGCTGCCTGTCCAGCCTGGGGCGGGCATTGCGGCTGCCAGGGACATTTTTTCCCTGGTGGCGGGATACAGCTGCTTGGAGAGCGATGGGGGAGAGCGGGAGAGGCGGAGGGAGTGTGGGCCCCAGCATTTGAGTCCCATCACACTCAGACAGACAGATGCTGACACAGACAGATGTGCTATCACACTGGATCATCACACACCCACACAGATGCCCCCACCCAATTACAAACCACACAATGACATGGCCACTTCCACCGGGAGCTTGGGCAAAGCCAACACTGGGAGAGGCTGGGATGGTTTCGGACAATGAGGAAGAAAATACAGCCGCCAAAGGCAGAACAGGAAAAACTCTGCCTTTACCAGTGGGAAAAGCCTAGGTTTCTATTGCTTCCAGCCTAGCTCAAACCCGAGACTTTAAGAACTGTCTTTAGTTTCTCTGGACCACAGAGCCCAAAGCCCAGAGCTCAGCCTAGTTAGCTTCACAAGCAGCCCCATGAAGCACATGGTGGGGAAACATTGCATTGGGACCCAGGAGGTCTGGGTCTCCAGGTTCAGCCAGGACCAGCCAGGCGACTGTGGAGCAGTCCTTTGATTTTTCCACTTCCTTGTCTCTGTACAAAGGGCCACTCCAATGTGTTTTCAGCCTGGAAATTTTGTAAAAGGGGATTGGGGCAAGGTGAGATAAGGGGACAGTGAGGAATGGAAGCTTAGAAAGCGGGACCCTCTGTCTAGTCTGGGAATCGTGGCGCACGCCATAGGTGACCCCTTGAAGTCTTCCTAGAGAAAGGAAAAGACAGGTGGGGATGGAAGGGAGGCCAGGCCCTCCCTCCACTGGGCTAAGAAGCCACTTCCTAGGACAGCGTTCCCTTCCCCCACCCTCACAAGCCTGGCCTGGGTGAGCAGTCCCATCGGTGCCTCCAGCAGGCATGCCCCTGTCTGAGAACCAGACTCTGAGGCCCATGACGATGATTCAGTGAGATAACATGTGGAAGGGGCTTAGGTGTGCACCTGGCATAGTAAGGCTGGCCATCCTCATCGGTGGTTCCTTACACCTACTAGTGTACTGCTCTCTTGGACTTCCAGGGACTTGTGTGTCCCATCCAAAGCTGAGATTTCCTCTGGGCTCCCTCTCCTGTACCAGTCCCCCTGTGGATAAGTCAGAGATGGTAGACCCCCGTCCTGGACCAGTCTCCCTGGGGTCCTGAACTGTGGTTCAAGCTCTGGGCTGGGTTCCAGAGGCCCTCCTGGCATCATCCTTGGCCCTACAAGCTCTCAGCCTCATTGAAGTACTTGATGGGCCGTGTCTTCTCTCTCAGGACCCAACCACATTTACAGATATTCCTGCTTTTTCATGATCTGCTGGACAGGGGATATGTTTTCAGCCCTTCAAAATGTGGTGCTGAGATCTATAACATTTGGTTTCTTCATCAATGTACAACTGAGTTATTTTTTACATCTATACAATGCTTCCTATGCACTTTGAATCCTTTTCAAAAACTATTATTCAGTATAACCCCCACATTTTATGTTAGCTTAAAATGAGGTTTGCTACACTTTCACCAAGGAAGAGTTTATGAGGGAAGTGCTAACGATCCAAAGAATTTTGCGAACTGTTTTTTATATTTACTATATTTTGAACACAATTCCGGATTATTCAAAAGAGAGCTGCATTATTTTCTTTCTTTTTGGGTAAATTAAAAAAAATTTCAGTATAAGTGTATGTTAGAGACAGCAAAATGCAAAGTTACTCAGTTTGATGAGATTTTACATACACACTTATTTAACCATGACCCAGATCAAGGTAGGGAACATTTTCAATACTCCAAAAGGTTCCCTCATCTCCTTCCTAGTCGATACCGCCCTTCCCCCATAGGCTACCATTCTGACCTCAATTATTTTAGATTGATTTTGCTTGTATTAGATTTGCATCTAAATGGATTCATCCAGCATATATACCCTTCTGTATCTGGCGTCATGTTTTTTGAGGTCCATCCATGTAGTTACATGAATCAGTAGTTCATTCTATTTAAATGCTGTGTAAATTTCCAACTTATAACTGTACAACAGTATGTTTATCTATTTTTCTGTCGACATATATTTAGAAATGCAGACAAAACCACAAGGCAATACCTTTACACATTTCCTAGAAAAGCCAGAAATGCAACACGCTGACCAATACTGAGTGCTGGTGAAGTTGGCGGGCCGTGTGGAGCTCCACAAAGTGGTGGGGGCAGAGTTGGTTGGAACAATCACTGTTTAGCTGCACCAACTCAGGATGCACACACAGCTATCCTTTGACCCAGAAATTCCATCTTGGGTACCTGCCCAAGAGAAAGGCGTGCTTATACCTGCCAAAAGACATGTACCAGAATGTTCATGGCAGCTTTGTTGATAATTCCATCATTGTGTAAATGGCTGCCAAGTTCTCCATTGTGTGAACGTACCAATCTCCCATTGCCCAGTATCAGTTCTAACCAAGGCTGAGATAAGCATCCTTAGGAACACACCTTGTATGAACTTAACAATTGTTTCCTTAGGATCAATCCCCAGAAATGGATTGCTGAGTCAGAAGGTATGTACATCTTTTGGGTTTGAGACCCATATTGCTAAGCTGTCTTCAGAAAGGATACATCAATTCTCCCGACACAGATCACACGTGCCTGTGGTTGTAAGACAGTCACAAACCCCACAGTCACTCCCTGTTTAAATGTGCCATGGAGCCCCAGGCTTTCCTGGTTCCTGGCGGTGAAAGGAAGGAAGGAAGGAAGGTTTGGGGTAAACACACTGGAAGCACAATCACCACAGCCCTCAGAGCCAGGCACTGGGGCCTCAGGGCCACCACCTTCCTTCCACCTGCTGTGGCCAGAGTGTCTGCTGGTGCCGGTGGCCTCCCACAGGCAGAGCACAGGAAGTGGTGGCTGCCGCACATCAATGACCAGCTGCACTGGCCCAGGAGTGCTGATGCAGGCCAGTCCAACATGGGAACATCAGCGGGTGAGCAAAACACCCAGCACTTCCTCCTCCTCAGCCCTTCAGCTGGGCACTGGTCTCCCTCTGAACTTCTTCCAGATTTCCCTTCCCCAGATGCCCCGAGGGTGTCCTGATGTTCAAGCAGGCAGCGCTGTGTGAAGGGGCATGGGGGAGGAAGTCAGACTGGCCCAAGGGTTAAAGGTTTTTCCTCCTCTCTTCTTTGAGATCAGAGCCAGGTCTACCTGATACAATGCGAAGAACCCTAAGAAGTCCCCAACTTGGCCAGCAGGAGTGCCCGAAATGCCTGCCTTGTACTCCTGCCTTTGTGTTCGAAGCTGCTCCACCTGCCCATCCACCCAGAGCAGCAGAATCAGCAGGACGGAGGGAAGTTACGAGACCCCTTCCTCCTAGCGGGAAAGGGGAAGGAAGGTGGCAGGAAGCCTGCTTCCCCAAAGTCACAATTCAGCTGCCAACTGTGTGGGTCAAGTCAGCTATTCCAGCCATTTCATCCCAGTCAAGTCCTTTCTCCATGCTGGGAGAAGACCCAGCACTCAGTCTTCCCCAGGATCTTTCCTGCCAAGGGTCTGGCTTCTGCCAACCTACTCCCAGCAGGGCAGGGACTGGGTGTCCGCAGGAGACAGGGCTAATAATATGTGGCTCTCAGAGGCCAGGCTCAGGGTAGAGGCCAAGGGAAGGGAGGAGACAGGCTGAGCAGCCCCTACTCTGGCCTTCCTTCTCTGTCCAGCTCAGGCTCCTAAGCTCCCCCCAACCTCTGTCTGCTCTGAGCCCCTGCAGCCAGGATGGTTTGTGCCCTGACCAGCTTCCTTCTGGTCGCAGAGCCACACGCGTCTGGAGCCAGGAGCTCTCGGAGTTCTCGGAGGCCAGGTTAGGTTCCTCGAAGCAGAGCCTGAAATGGCCATCCCTGTGAAAATGGTGAATTGCAGGGGTACTTTTGGGAGCAGGGCAGTGAGGGAAGCAGGGTGGGGCAGGGGAGAACCAAGGCAAGGATGTGGCCTCTAGCTGAAGCCTGATCCCATGTTGCTCCAGAGAAGACTTAGAACACAGCGCTGGCCCAGCCTATGTTGTCCTGGGTCAGTCATTGGCTGTGGGCTGAGGGTGGAGGGGTGGGTACCTAGGAGGTGCCTGCCAGGACAGTTCTTCAAAGAAGGGGGCACAGTGAGCCTTAGTGGGCAAGTCTCACAGCGGCTGGTAAAAGAATCTGGGTGAGTAGCCACTGCACTCTCCCCACTCCAGGCGGGGAGCCCACACGCGAGCAGCCAGGCACCCGCCCCCAGACTCACCTCAGCCAATCCTCTGCAGCCCCATCTGGAAAGCACAAGAGCCTCGTCTCCAGATGAGCACAAGGGGGCCCAGGGAACAGGGGATGAAGGAGCAGCGGAGCCAGGGCCAAACAGCGTGCCCTTATTTCTGGAACAGGGGCCTCTAACCGGGAGGCAAAGACCTGGGCCTCCCCTGGAATTTCATGCTGGCTGTGGACTGTGCACGTGCCGGAGTTTAGGGAGAGAAAATCCCCAAGTGTCATGGAGTCTGAAAGGCAAGGAAACGAACTGTGATTGTCTCTCCTCACCTGGTTGTTCCCACAGACACGTCACCAACCAAGTGGATGTGACAGAGACTCTGGGCTCAGGAAATGCCTGGAGCTAGGCAGGTTCCCCACAGCCACGCACTCTGTGCCCTCCTCCCAGGCTTGTAGGGGTGCCGGGCTGGCCTGGAGTCTCAGGAGAAGGTGCTTCCTGTCTTCATCATGGGCTGGGGCTGGGCTGGGGCTCTAGGCCTGAACCCTTCAAGCTGCCAGAAGACAGTACCCAGACCAGGCCACCATCTGCACATCCGACACGTCTGTGCATATTAGAAAAAGGCACCCTTGTGGGGGGAGACACACTACAAAAGACACTCCCTCTAAGCAGTGAACTTCAGGAAGTGCCCCTTCCTGAGGGTGGGCCAGCCGGCCTCCCCAGCGCTGCATAGCTCTGTAGGATCTCCTCCCCGCTCAACCAGTCAGCACCAGGGGACAAATCGCCTCCCTCCCTGGGCCCCCAGAAACCGAGACCTGTTTCCAGGGTGAGAGAGGGAGCAGGAAAAGGCTGGAGTGGATGCCTAGGGCTCTGGAATCTGAACTAGGGCAGAGCTGGGGCAGCATCTCAATGAAGCTGCAGACAGATTCTGGGCCTCGAGCCAACTGTGCACCAGACCTGTGAGGGGGACCCCGGCCGTGCCAGGAAGGTGGGGCTGCTCAAGTCAGGGCGGGGGTGTACACATGTCCATGGAGGTACCCTAAAGGCAGCAGAGGCTGAGGGACATGAGGGTCCGGGAGGCACAAGCCTGAACCTCCATTCAACACGGTGACACCCACTGAGCCCTGCCAGGAGCGGGAGGCATCTAGATATGCGTCTGAGGGGGCGCGCATCTCGTGCCCTGTCCTCAACAACAGCCTGCTGTGCAGACTGCGGGAGATGTCCGTGGAGGGGTCCTCCATCAGGTCCAGTTCCGTGGACCTCAGTCCCTCAATCCTGCCTGCCCGAGAGAATCACCTGAGCCTTAAAGCAATACAATCGCCGGGTCCCACCGGGATTCCATAACTCTAGGGTAAGGTCATGCTCTTACTCATTTATTTGTAGGCTCTGGGGTTATTCTACTGTGCAGCCAGCCAGGGCAGAGAACTACTGAATTGATCATTCACTCCAAGAGAGGCTTTCCTTTCCAGAAACGGCTCTGAGATCAATCGGGTTTGGGAAATGCCTTCTATTCTGTCTCCTCTTGGTGATTCATAGGACATGCTGACATATCAAAGAATTTCCCAAGTGAAAAAAATTCTTTGCCCTGGAAACTTGTTCTTCTTGGCAGCGGCGGCGGTGGTGGTGGTGTGCCCACGTGTGCAATACTGTCCTTATTTTATAAATGGGACTCCAAGAGTTTAAGGGACTTGCCCAGTGTGGTCACCACGGTCAGTGGCAGAGTGCCGACTCAGACCCAGGGCTCTCTCTGCTTCGCACATTGACCCCACTCAACACTCCCCAAATTTCTCTAGAAACAGGGCTCTCGGCAACTCCTCCTGGGAGTCAGATGGCCCAGGTGGGGCTGTGGCAAAACGCTCACACAGCTCCCCCTCCCAGCTGGCCTCCTGTCTCTCCCAGCAGTCAGGCCCCAGTCCTGCTGGAGGCCACGGAGCTCCTGCATAGAGCCAACGTGGCAGACCTGTCCTCCCCGCGGGGGCGCGACTGCCTTCCCTGGGCCCAGATCCTCTCCACCCAGTTCGGTGCAGGCTCACAATCCTCCCAGCTCTCTGTCTCCCCTGAGGGCAGGGAGGAAGGCAGCTGGTTTCTAAATTTTCTTCCTGCAGGTCCTCATCATCACGGCTTTCCTAGCACTATGAAGCGAGCCGTTCTTCCCAGCGCAAGGTGGAACTGAAGGCACTTCAGCCGAAGGGGAAGGGAAGAACTGAAGGCCAAGGCTCGGGAGAGAGTTCCTGGAGGTTACGTGACCATCTTTAAGTAGGGGTGTAGGTCCTGCAAAGCTCCGAAACTCAGGCTGCTCTCCTGACACCCGCCAGGTCCCCTCTCCAAGCTCCCCAGGCTGGGGCAGGAAGTGGTTCCCCCTTCCAAAAGAATTTCAAAGAAATGCCCCTGTGCCCCAGGTCGCTGCATTCCTTCAGCAAAAGGGAGCTGCCAGAGCTGGTGAAACCCGAGTCCTGTGGTGCAGGCTGGACCGGAAGCACGTCTGAGATCTCAGAACCTGCACCAAGGCAGGGAAAAGTCTCTTAGAGTGTGTTCATTTTTTTTTCCTGGCTAAATCTAATTAAGACAAGGTCCTAGCTTCCTCTGAGTCTGCTGCAGGTCATCAGGCAGTTTCTAAGAAGGACTGTGAAAACTCTCTGGCTTCCCCACAGCAATACTCACTCAGAATGTGTCCTGTTCTCTCTGGAGTCTTATTTCAGCAACAAGTCAATGTCTTCCCATAAGGGGTGTGAATGATAAGCTTCTGTTTCCCAGTGAAGTTTAGGAGCTAAACTTCCCTCTCACCAGTGCACCACCCCCTCCTCCACACACAAAGTAGACTCTACATCCACCTAACAACTCTTTCTTATTCCCTAAATAACCCAGCCCAAAGGAAGAAAGACAGGTGGTCAGAATCAGAGAGGTGTAAGAAGAAACCAGGGGGCCAAATACAGTGAGAGTGAGCAAGGCGCAGGCAGAGCAATAACTCATCGTCTAGAGAGGCAGGCTGGCGGCACCTGGGAAGTCCACTTGGGGATCAAAGTGGCTAAGCAAGGATAGTCTTAGATGACTCCAAGGTAAGCCCAGCTGGCTAGCACCCCAGCATCCAGGAGGGCTGGCACCTTGACTTGACTTGGCAGAATAATCATGTACATGCTTCTCTATGTACTTGATGTTTATTTAATCTTCCCAACAATTCTATAATAGCCCCATTTTACAGATGAAGTAACTGAGGCACAGAGAGAGTAGGTAACTTGCCTAGAGTCATACAATCAGTATGTCGGAGAGCCCAGATTTGAACCCGGCAATCTGGCTTCAGAGTCTAAGCACCAAACCACCACATCGCAGCTCACACCCGTTACTGGATGTTCAAGTTGCTGTGGCTGTACAATCCCCAAACTTAGTGGCTTAAAACATCGTCAACCATCTGTTTAGCTCATGAGTCTACAATCTGGGCAGGGCATGGTAAGAAAGGTTAGGTTCTGCTGGGGCATCTTATCTGAGGACAGGAGGGCCCACGGGCAAGATGATCCACTCACATGGTTAGCAAGTGCGAAACAGCTGCTGGCTGGGAGATCAGGCCAGATCGAGACCTGGGACTGTGCTCTTTTCTGTGCGGGACTCTCCACGGGCTGCTTGGCCTTCCTCGCAGCATGGTGGCTGGGTTCCAAGAGTGAGACCCCCAAGAGACAGGAAATGGAAACTGACAGTTTTTTAAAGCTTAGGCCCAGAAACTGGCAGGGCATCATTTTTGCCATATTCTGTTGGTTGAAGCAGTGATGTATCCCAGGTTCAAGGGAAAGGGGTCTAATGGAAGGAGTATTAGAATTTGGGACTGTGTTTTTAAACTGCTACATGGGGCCTGGGGTTCAGAAGAAGTCCTGGATCTCAGGAATGAGGGAGTTACCGCTCACTGCTACCTTTTGCTCAGGGCTGAGCAGAGGGAAGTAAGTCTCCAGTGTGTGCCAGGTTTTGGCCTCACAGGCATTATCTCAATTACCTCAATCGCATGCAGGTTTTCTCACCACTTTAGATGAGTGCTGTGAGCCTCAGAGAGGGCATTAACCTTACCCAAGGTCGGCCAGCTGGTAAGTGGCAGAGCTTTTCTGACTCCAGAGCTGAACCTTGAGCTCTCCTGGGGAACTGCCCACAGATGAGGAGCAGGGCTGGCCCCAGAGGTACAACGAGGTTGTCCGGGAAGAGGACAATGAGCCAAGCTATTACTCCCTACCCGCTCCAGAACCCCCACCAGGTCAGAGAAGGACTCCAAACACTCTGTCTCAAGGCATCCTTTCCCTCCTGTGCCTCCTCCCCGGCTGGGGCATGTACAGACCTTCCTCCTTGGCCCTGCCTCCCAAATTGTGTTTCTCAATTCCGAGCAGTTCCCGAAATCCTCTCTGTACTTCCTTGAAACCTTCCCAGAGGCATTCCCCCAGTTCTACCTGTCTCAGCCATAAGCTGCGACTAATTACCAGCATAAAGCTTTCAAGTCTTTAAATAAACTTTTTGTTTATAATTTTAGATTCACAGAAAAATTCTAAAGATGGTACAGAGAGCTCCCATGTTCTCTATGCCAGTTTCCCCCATTATTATCGCCTTATGTTAGCCTGCTACCTGTCACAATGAGTAGACAAATACTGATATATTACTGTTAGCCGTGTGATATTATGAGCATTATTATTAAAGCATAAGTCCATACTTTCTTCCAATTTCCTTGGTTTTTTGCCCAACATACTTTTTCTTTTCCAGGGACCACATTACATTTAGTTGGCATGTCTCCTTAGGTTCCTCTTGGCTGTGACAGTTTCTCAGACTTGCCTTGTTTTTGATCATCTCGACAGTTTTGAGGAGCACTGGTCAGGGATTTTGTAGACTATTCCACAGTCCGGACTCTGATGCTTTTTCTCATGGTTAGACTGGAGTTATGGGTTTGGGGGAGAAGACCACAGAGGCGAAGTGCCGTCTCGTCACATCACACCCAGGGTACATGCTACCTACGTGACTTACCATTGTCGATGCCGACTTGGCCACCTGGCTGAGGCGGTGTTCATCAGGTTTCTCCACTATCAAGTTCCTCTTTTGTCCTGTTTCCACACTGCACTGTTTGGAAGGAAGCCACTATGTGCAGCCACATTTAAGGAGTGGGGAGCTAAGCTCCTCCTTGAGTGCAAAGTGTCAACTAAATCACTGGGAATTCTGGACTGGAGTTTTGTTTTTCTTCCCCAACTTATTTGTTTTCTTTAATAACCTAATTATTTAATTATTAATTATTTAATCCATTTATGTAAGATGAAAATGTATTTTATACTTTGGCTAATAATCCAACACAATTGTATTTATTTTCTTGCTCAAATTGTTCCAGCTTTGGTCACTGGAGCTCTTTCAGTTGGCTCCTGTGTCCCTTTGACATACTCCCATTTTTTTTATTATTATTATTATTATTATTATTATTATTATTATTATTATTTTGCACTTCTTTACTTTCTGGCACTGCAAGAGGCTCCAGCTTCATCTTTTGTATTTCCTGCCTCCTGTCCTAGAACCAGCCATTTCTTCAAGGAGCCCTGGTTCTTTTTATTGGAGAATGGCATTGGAAACCAAGATCTGGCCACTAAATGAGCCCATTGGTACTGGGGTATCTCAGTTTCTAGGCCTTCTCACCTGATAGAACAAGGAAGTATACATGTGTAGCCTAACCTGTGTGTCTATCCAACTTACCAAATATACACCAATCTATCAATATTTCTATATGTAAACATTTGAATCTATATTAGAGTAAACCTGAGTTCACACTGATGTCTACAGCTCTAATCCATGAGCACAAGGATCATACTAGCCTTCTCCCTTCGCTTGTCTGTAACCTTCCACCTCCTACTCCCACAGTGAGAAATCTGGCTCCCACTGTCCACCATCCATTTACTTAGTGGTCCAATTCCAGTATGCACGCGTAGGGGTTTCCGAATGTTATCTCATACCCTACGGGAAACTGCTTCATCAACCAGCATACAGTGCTTATGCAGTTTCTTTTGCCTTTAGTCTTACAGACACTACTCATTTCCAAAGTTATCTAAATCGAAACTTCCCCCCACCCCCCACTTGAGCGAAGTTGTTTCATACATTTGTAATACAGATAGGTTTGTCATAGTCTGCATTCCATCCTGGGATCTCCTGGCCTCTTAAATGATTTTTTTTAATGTATATACCTTAAGATTCACTCTGTGCTGTAAAGTTTTATGGGTTTCAAAAAATGCAGTGTCGTGTATCTATCATTAAAATATCATACAGAACAATTTCACCCTCTTAAAGAACACCCTGAACTTCACCCAGTCAACCTCTCCCCGACCCTCAAGAAGCCTTCAATTTTAAAGCACATTTAAGTGTTTTTTCACAGTCTCTTTCATGCACATCACCTTATTGAATCTGCAAAGCAGGCTGGGAAGAGCATAAGCAGCACACTTACTTTTTGGAGGAGGAGACTGAAGCTCAGCAGCATTAACGGGCTTGCCTATGGCCACATGGCTAGTGTGCGCACACTCGAGGCTGACCCTGCTGCTTTATTTCTACTGTACTCGGGTCAGGGGTGGTTCCCAGACCCCAGAGGTGGGGTTCGGGCAGGAGACTGAGCTGCAAGTGAAAACAAGCCGAGTGAAAACAAGCAACTCCTGAGCTTCAGTCCTGGTTCTGTTACCTTTCGCCGGGTGGTCTTGACTAAATCACTTTCCCTGGCTGGGAAGGTTACAGTTTCCTCTTCTGTAAAGTAGTGAGGGATGAGGTGGTCCCTGGGTCCCATTCGAGTCTAGCAAGCCATGCCTGGCCTTAGCATGCGGCTAAGTGCAGTCACAGGGAGGTTTGGGGGTAGTCAGGCAGACAGCTGCCAAGGAAAGCTCCAGTCAACCACAGAGACGCAGTGGTGGGCCGCGCTGGAGGTGGGGGGCGGGGGTGCCCAGGGTAGCAGCTCCCACCCTGCTCTCCTCCCACCAAGCTCTCCAGGCTGTGAAACCACACAAGCTTTTGTATCCTATTCCACAGTTTATAGTAGTGTTTTTCAAACTGTAGTTTAAGGCCCAATGGGTCATGGCCTGCAATTAAAAAAAAAAAAGAATGAAATAGAGTAAAATAGATCAATGTATTCAACATAATAGGGATAAATCTAAACCTACACTTATTATGTTGAACGCACTGATCTATTTAAAAATTGTGGCTCATGACCCATTGGGCCTTGAGCTACAGTTTGAAAATTTTTGTTTTGATTATATTTGCAGGTAATGGGTCAATATGTAAAATGTATTGGTCAGAAAAGCCTGAAGTCGCTGGGCTGACCAAACACATTTGACATCTTTATCTCATTTTAACCTTCCTATAAAACCGTATTATCATCCGTATTTTCCAATGAGGAAACAAGCTCAGAGAGGTCCAATGGTACACTCAAGGTCTCCCAGTTAGTGAGAGGCAGGTTATGAAGAACACTCCCAGCTCCCAGACCCAGCTGGGGTTTCCTGCACTTGTCTCCAAACAGAACGGTGGCACTTGTTTGCTTCACAAAGTCCCGAGCCGCACAGCCCATGGGAAGGATTCCAAGTTGGAGGGTGGCCGGACCCCTGAACCTGGCCAGCCCCACTTCGTCTTGGCAGGAGGAAGTCTTGTTTGCCATCCATCCACCATTGCCCACCCCCAGAAGCACACTCAGTGGGAGTTCAGCTAGGGCCAGGCTCCACCAGGGTGGGCAGTTAGGGTGGGGCAGCTCAGGTGGTAGGAGAGGCTGGGAAAGGCCACGTGGGCCTCCTCCCTCCACCCAGAAGCCACATACACCACATTTAGCAAACACACTCGTAAAAACACACTCTGGCTGGGGCTCTAGAGTCTTTTAGAGCCCCAGATCCCAACCTGGAGCGACTGTGGATCCTACAATGCATCCATCTGTCCTGCCTCTGCTCCCCAGGTTCTCCTGCTTTGCCTAAGACCAACATGCACCCACTGGGAGTAATTTTGACCCTTTTCTTCTTTCTTGTCCCCTTGATCTGAACACCCACAACAACACTGCGTTGTCTTGTGATTTATAAGCTCACAAAACTCACTAAGACTTTCCCTCAATTACTTCAAGGTAAAGAAGTCCTTGGTTTCTCTGCAGACAGGAGGGCCCTACTTCTCCCTCAGACCCAGACGACCAGGCCCTGGCCAGGCCCCCTCCCACAGGGCTGTGTGGTTTATTTGTGATCTGTTCACTCAAATGTTACCATTGGTGGGAAATCCCTGACTGTGGTGAGGAAAAGGCAAGAAACATGAGGGACAGGAAGAATTTCCCTGCAGCACAAGTCTCCTGGCCAGGTTCTTCCTGGCCACTGTCCTTTGGTGAGCAAAGTGTCTCCACCAGGCCACCGTGGGTCTCAGTATCTCCCAGTGACCGGGGTGTGAGGGCAGCAGGAAAAATCTGGCAGCTGTGGTGGGAAATTTTCAGCAAGCCCAGGAGCCTCCTGGAGAAAAGGCACTTGACGTCACATCAGGTCTCTGCTCAAATATCACCAACTCAGAAAGGACTCCTGAGACCCCTCCCCCCCACCCAGCTCCCAGCCCCGCTTCCTGGCTGTGTGTTTTCCATAGCCCTTCCTACCATCTGACAGCTATCTGTTTTTCTTATTTGTTTTCCTGAAGCCTCTTCCACCAGAAAGTAACACAGGACCTTTGCTTGGTTCATGACTTTCTCCCATGTGGCCTAGGACATTTTCTAGCACAGAATAAACACTTAATAAATATTTGCTGAATGAATGAATGAATTTTGGGGGCCTAAAAGTGGCCAAAAGGATCCATTCCATGGCCTGTCCAGAACCCTTTGGATATGTACTCCCAATGAATTCTAGAAGAGCCATTGTCCAGACTCACTGGTGGCCAGTCCAGACCCACTCCAAGGACAGCCCAGACCCAGACCCTCCCCTTGGCCAATCCTGTTGGGGCCGGTGGCTGCCCCCACGGCTCAGAGTTGCTCCCCTTTCTGGCCTGGCCACAACACCCCGTGAGCTGAGCACCCTGGGTCCCTGCAGGCCTGGAGCTCACACACTGCTAGGGGAGCACCACTACGCCTACCCTGGCCCAGCCCTGGAGATCTCGGGGGCTCACTGCTCAGAGCCACCCTCTCAGCAGAGAACTCAGAACTTCCCCCAAACTGCGAAAGACATGGCTTGGGCCCAGAGCATCCTTGGTTTCCTCACACTTAGAAGGACCCAGGACTCTGGGATCCTCTGGGAGGAGAGATGAGAGGCCCGACAGGTGAGCAGACTAGTTGAACCCTGGCCATGGCAGACATAACAGGGAACACAGAGGAGAAAGCCTCCAAGTGGACAGGCAGAGAGAGAGAGGGAAGGAGATAGAGAGACAGAGACAGGGAAAAACACGCAGAAGCAGAGAGAAAAGGAATCAGAGAGAAACAGTCCGCGAGACAGCCCCGGAGACCGGCAGGCAGAGAGAGACAGAGGACAAGAGAGCAAAAGACGACGCAGAGAGGGGCGGCCGAGGGGCCGGCGGGCGCTGCTGAATCGCCGCTCTGTTCCCGGCGCCGCACTGAGGGGCTTTCTTCGCGGCGTGGGAAAGTGGTGGGCGAGCGCGCGCCCCGCCGCCCTGTGGACGGTAATTAGCCGGATTAGGGCGGGAGCCGCGCGGGCCTGCCGAGAACAAAAGGCCCCTCTTTGCCCGCGCAAACAGCGGGG